AATTCTCTTGTTTATCTTTTCTTTTGTCATGAACTAATTTTCCTTGCTAGGGCTACGATGTAGCCTAACTATGAATACTTAATTTTTATAGTTATATTAATTTCTTATTACTATTCCATGTTGAGTATTTGTTACTGTTCTTAATGCTTTGAATATCTGGCCAATATTTAATTGATTTGATGATCTAAGCGGAGACCGAGAGGAGATGTTTGGTGTTTGCTTCTCGTAACAAATACTATGTCTTGAATGAGTGCCCGAGAGGGACTAACATGACTCATGCAGTTTTCTTGCAGGTTCTCACAGAACTTAATGGGTTCTTGATTTCCTAAATCCATTACTCGAGAGAGAATGGGTTGTTAATTAAGAATACTTTTGGTTGAGCCCGAGAGAGGATATCGAATGAATTAGGAGAAACCAACTGTCAACATGGGTAGTAATTAGGGTTAATTGGCTATAAGAATTAAGTGGAATTGGTTATGGTGAAATCGGATGCTCTGTGTCTCATCATCTTGATTATCCATCATTAATTAAATTGCTATTTTTCATAATTATTTTAGGTTACTTAAATCAATCAATCTTCTTAATCAACTGTTCAAATAAACTTTTGAATTAATCATAATTGATAATTAATAGGAAATTATAGTCTTCGTGGGAACGACACTCTACTTACTTCTATATTACTTGTGCGGATTGTGCGCTTGCAATAAATTCACAACAAGTGCTACTTCAGGAATGGGGAGCACACATTGCCTAGCTCATTTGTCTATCTGCATATTCCGGGTAATGAAAATTATTTTTCCCTTTGGACTTTGTTCTTCTCCCCTGTTCAATCCACATTTAGCGTTGTGGCACCTTTAGTTATGGGAACTTTGATTTTCCAGGCCTCTTTAGCAATCACGGCCCCTTATACTTTGTTGGAACAAAGAAATTCTTTTCGAAGATGGGTCTAGCTTGCCATATTGCAAAAATTCACAGTGAGGTAATGAAATTCTTGGGTTGATAAAGAAATTATGGAAAAGAGGGTAATGAGAAAGATCTTTTGTGTAGTTGAGTCTGACCATTGTAGGGACCAAGTTCAGGCGAGCCCGTGTGCACAGTAGACTAGGAAATCGGCAGTATAACTGTCAATTGGGTGATTTGGGCTTGGAGATCAATGGTGTAGACAAGATAACTAGCAAAAGGGGAATTATGGGATAATTGAGATGGGTGTTAGTTTATATAATGGGGCATTCGAAATCACAGTGGTAAAATGCATGGTATGGGACATGAAGATTTGCTTGCCCTATTATATAGATTAACGGATTTGGTAAAATTGAAGTTCATTCATGCATCGCATAAAATGTATATTATAAATTTCACTAATAACATAAGACACAGGACCCCTACTGAGCATGTAGTGCTCACCCCTTTTTGAATCTATTGCAGGTTTTGAATCTGAAGTTTAGTTTGTGACGAGGAAAGAAGAATGAGTTGTGGATAGTTTTGAATGTTTTGTTAAAAGTTTGTTACTTTCTTGTTAATTTGCTTGTAAAATTACAATGTAAATTTACTTTGGTTTAAATAGTAGTTTATGTTTAGTTCTCATGTTTCTTACTATTTAAATTTTTAGTTTTAATTTTTCTTTTACCTCACACTCCTAATAATATATATATATATATATATAATTGGGGTGTGACAACTTCGGCATCTGTCGACAGCTATCGGTAGCTTGCTTCGGCATTTGTCGACAACTGCTGTCGACAAATTCACGGTATGCGTTGCCTTGGCCTTAGCATTGCGCCCCATTCATGGCATTCCGAGAAAGTGAGGCTATTGAGCCTTGTCCTGTCATGACATTGTCGTGGCTTGCCATATTCAAGGCAAGCGAGGCTATTTGAGGCTTGTCGAGCGAGGCTATGTCAGGCTTAGCGTGCCATGGCATGTCATGGCTTTGCCATATTCAAGGCAAGTAAGGCTATTTTAGGCTTGTCAAGGGAGGCTATGTGACGCATGCCTATTCAAGGCAAGCAAGCGAGGCTATTTGAGGCGTGCCATGTGAGGCTTGTCATATTCAAGGAAAGCACCCAAGGCTATTTGAGCCTTGATTAATGAAAACATCCTTGGTAAATGCTTTCGCAATTCTTCGTCTTTCATAAATTTAAGAATTTCACCTTTGACTATGAAATATGAACGCCCCGACTATCCCTGTTAATCATTACTTCGATCCCGAAGGCCAATAGAATAAAACCGAAATCCTATGATGTTATTCCATGCTAATGTATCTAGAGCATAGGCTTGCTTTGAGCACTCTAATTTCTTCAAAGTAATAGCACCGGAGGCACGACCTGGCCAGTTAAGGCCAGGAGCTTAAAAATCAGAATTTAAGTCGCCTCCATGATTTTCGTTTATCGATAAGAGTAGTAAAGAGCATTATCCATTGCTATTAGGCCATTACCCGAGTCTCTCTATTGTCCCCTTTTGATTTTTTATTGTTCCAGAGTTATTATCTGTTTAAAGAATTTAGTATTTTCCAGCTTAATACTCGTATTATACACCTACATACGTTTTTATCAATCATACTTTCGTTTTCCGTACACGTCTTAAAAGCTCGGTAAAATATACGTTTTTATAAAAAGCGAACATACAATACACGTATTGTAGACATACACATGTATTTTTCATGTTCAATACATGTGTTTTTTACAAAATTTTCAATAATACAAACAAAATTCACATATTATATACATAACTTTCACATATTATTGAATAAAAATAGTATATATTAAAATAAATTAAAATAAAATATTATATAGTGGCTAAACTTTTCTGTTGTAACTTGCCAAAATTATTATTTTTTTAATAAATAGTACAGCCGCTTGGCTATACTGGGTTTGTTCTCCATTACACCTTTTAGATTTTTCTTTGGGAGAAATTCAAACAAGTGATCTGGCAATCTAAAACTAAAAGCTGGAGATGCACACAGTTTTCATGAGCAAGTTTTTTCTTAAAGCCATTTTTATATTATTCAAATTTGGAGGTTGCAAGTTGTTATATATAAAGATAAAGTAAACCAAAGATCAGATGAGTTTATCTCAAAACAGCCTCCAAATCTATGAACTCTTTAATTCTTGTCTTTCTGATATTAAAAATCCTGGTGAGACCCGATGCATAATAATGGGATATATATAGCACACTCTTCCTAAAGAAAGGATAATGGGATATTATTACTAACTTATGATATGTCTTATTTTTTTTGTTATATTATTGTTCCAACAAGGGTTTACTGTCACATGCCAATTATAATTATATGGACCAAGTCACTGTTAATTTATTTATTAGAGCATCTCCAAATGATATGTTAATTAATTGATACGTACAGGCATGAAATGTCAACATTTGAAGAAAAAACTTACTCCAATCCAACTGAGTAGTCAATTCTTATATGAATTTAAAGACTGAAAGAGATATATCAAAACTAACATCTCGTAAATTATCTGCTTTTCTTTTCCTTTTTATATTTTCATATATAAAATCACCACCCACAATCAGTAAATAGCTAGTTTTTATTTATTTATTTATTTATTCGATACAAACAGGACATACGGCACCCTTCCAATTTGTATCTTATTTATGGACACTATTTAAAACAACATACATTACATTTAAAACAACACTATTTAAAGCTGTTGCTCCCAATCAGAACTTGTTCCGGTACCAAAACACACCGTTTTGAGCACCATCCTCATCAGGTTCAACAAAAAGGCACTCTCTTGCCTCCCTCCACAGAGCCTTCCAAATTGGAGTTGCGTCAAAACTATAATACTCTCCCAAAATAGGCTTGAGCACATTGGTTGCTTCCATTGCATGATAATGCGGCATTGTAGAGAAGAGATGGTGCACAACATGTGTATTTGTACTATTATGGAACACCTTGTTAAGCACCCCATAGTCTCTGTCCACAGTCGCCAAAGCCCCTCTCAGCCAATCCCATTCCGACGCGCCGTAGTGCGGCAGCGAAGGATGCGTGTGCTGCAAGTATGTGATTAGCACAACACACACATTAACCACAATCATTGGCACCCCATAAACACAAACAAGCCAAACAAACCCTTTGGCCATGACAATTTTATAGAGCACATAAATAGCAGACATGATCCCGAGGTCAGAAATGTAAACTTGAAGCCTCTCCCGGTTGGAAAATATAGGGCCGTTGGGATCGTAGTGGCATGTAAACCGGTCGTATTCCCGGCCCGAGATGTTGAAAGCCAAATACAAGGGCCAGCCGACTGTTAGAGTGACAAGAATAACCAAGAGCCTGCCTGGTGGGTTGTTGAAGTAATTGTTGTACCATGGCATCTTAGACTTAGGTTTTGGAACAAACACTTCGTCCCGCTCCATCGAACCGATGTTCGAGTGGTGGCGGCGGTGGCTGTACTTCCATGAGAAATAAGGGACAAGAAGAGCAGTGTGGAGGACGAGGCCAACGACGTCGTCCACTAATTGGTAGTCACTGAAGGCATGGTGGCCACATTCATGTGCGATGATCCAGACACTGGTTAGCATGCAGCCTTGGAGGATCCAATAGATGGGCCAAGAGATGTAGGGGAGGAGGGGGTGAGGGAGGAGGTGGAAGTATGAGGTGGCAATGTGGTAGAGGAGGAAGGATAGGGTAAGGTCGAAGAGGACATAGGAGAAGGAGCGGAGGAGAGAGCGGTTGAAGCAATGTGGTGGAATGGCGTTTTTTATTTGCCTTAGGGTGAATGGTGGTTTCGACGTTGGTGCTCTTTGGTGGGTGATTTTCTTGTCTTCAATACGTGATTTAGAGACCTTCTTTCCACCGGATCCCATTTTGTTGAAGTCCTGAAAACAACCAATATATCAAACTTATCTAATGATCAGTACTCCCAAGTGGATCGGACTAGATTGGACTAAAAACCTTAAAAACTTATTTCGTATGAAAAGTATATCAATCCCCTTCTATTGAGGCATCTCTCAAAGACACCCTTAAGAGCTCACTATAAAAAGAATTTCAACGATCCGAATAGTGATTATGATCTCCACAAGAAAGGCTTACATATCACAGATATTGAACCAAAAGTATATATATAGATAACACAGGAGAACTTGCACATACCTCAACGTCCAAGCGGATGGAGAAAGAAATTGATTTACATGAAAGCACTTCTGTCTAGCAAGAAGTGCTTTCCCTGAAAGAACTCAAGCACAGAAGTGATTAGAGAACTAGCTCTCACTCTTTCCCCTTAAGTATATTTTACCTCAATATGGCACCTGTTGGTGAATGGGTCGTGTCATCTTCATAAAGAGTCAAGGGACCACAATGCTCTTATCACATGCCTATGCATCATGCATGGATGCGGACCACCTGGATTCTTCGAGACTTTTCTCTTTTCTTTTTGGATTGGCACTCATAAACACTTGGCATGCCTTTCTCCTATAATCAGTAGGTAAAGTTATCTAGAAATAGAATTATTTGATATTCTAACTTAAAAACCGAACTTAAAACGCTTAATGTGTTCGTGTGGATCGGATAAAATTGGTGACGAAATTTAGTGACGAGGTCTGACAACATCTTGCATGTAGATTTGTTGTGTACTGAAACTACTGCAAACACTCGTCAAAAATTCTTGAGACACAAACAGAGTGCTGCTTGACTCGGGAGTTACACCAACAGGTTGGACCCTCAACCTCCAACCTCTAGTCGTCGGTGACCACCTCCTCCTCCGACCCACCTCCATGTCTCCCTTATTACCCAAAAAACTAGAAAATATTGTGACATTGAGGGGATTTGAACTTTGACCCTTAAAGTAGGAAACCTCAAAACCAAACCATTAGAACACTTCTACCCATTTGCCATGGCAAATGGCAAGGGCAAAGTGAGGGCTGTTACTATTCATGTGAATAGTGGCAGTCATTGCAAAAGGTTGTGGTGTTACCCACCTCCATGTCTCCCTTATTACCCAAAAAACTAGAAAATATTGTGACATTGAGGGGATTTGAACTTTGACCCTTAAAGGAGGAAACCTCAAAACCAAACCATTAGAACACTTCTACCCATTTGCCATGGCAAATGGCAAGGGCAAAGTGAGGGCTATTACTATTCATGTGAATAGTGGCAGCCATTGCAAAAGGTTGTGGTGTTTCCACCCATTGTCATGGCAACCACTATTCACATGAGATATGAGGAGAT